GAGAGACAAGTATTTGTTGAGTATGATGTATATGGTAATATCTCTGACTTGATTAACATGCACTGCATGAATGCTTTGATAAACCATATTATATCCTATAAATATGTACAATGATTAAATGTAAATTATTTTTAAAATACCATGCAGAGTGTGTGTGCATGTGTGCCCAAAACCCTGAAATGAGGGCAAGATGGAGGAGAGGGAATTGTGGTGTGACCAATGCCCCACAGGGGGTGTTTTCTTACTTTCTCTATCTTTCTTGGTCTCTCTCTTATAAGCACAGACACCCTCTAGCAAATGAAGAAGATGAAAGAAGAATGAAGAAGAGAGAAGAGGGAAAAAGAAAGATGAGGAAAGAAAGCAGAAGGAAGAAAGAAAAAAAAAGGAAGAAGAAAATTATGTTCTAGTGGGGCAAGAGGCTGGCTGAAAGAACAGATGGAAAAGGTTCAAAAATATTTCTCCCTGTATTTAAAAAAATAAATAAAAACTAAAAGACTAAGCCTTGGAACAATTTTTTTCTTTTTTTCTTTCTTTTTTTTTTTTTTTTTTACTACTTTTATTTATTTATCTGTTTGTTTTTTAGTTTTGCTATAGAGCACATGCACTCACCAGAGAGAGAGAGAGAAAGAGACAGAGAGAAAGTGAGAAAGTGAAAATCACCCCACAGGGGGGATGGCCCTTTTCCTCCATTCTCCTCTTGGGACTTCTGGCATGCATGCACATGCATCTAGTATGTCTTTCAAGTCACTGGGTCTGGAATTAGAACCACAAAGTCAGCCATGAGGGATCTAGCACATTGACCACCAGGCCACCTGGCTGGCTTAGATCAGATATTCATTTGTTGAAGCTGGTATCCATTTGAAGCAAATGCCTTCAAGAATCCACGTCTCCAAGGAGGAAGCCTGAGTCCAGAGTTTAAGACTACAGAAGATCCACTCACTGTGATTCTGCCAGCTGCAAATGTCAATGGGCTGTAACTAGGCAAAGATTATATTAGGACTGCTATTATTTGGATTAGTGTTTTGGCTTCAAAGTCACATAGATCTTCAAGAATGTGCCCCTAATCTCTTTTCTAGTAAGCCTCATTATTTTTAGAGTACAAATTTTCAAGGTTTTACAGGAATTCATACATCCCATGATAACAGAAGCCGCTAAGGAATTTCATACATCCCATAATAACAGAAGCCGCTAATAAAAGATGTCAATCTCCCTAAATTAATCTACAAATGTCATGCAACCCCAATAAAAGATCCTAATAGGATTTTTCAAGGAGTTTGACAAGTTAATTCTATAATTCATCTGGAATAGAAAAGGATTAGTAATAGCTGAGTGAGCTATTTGTTCGGAGAGGACTGGCTAAACCAGATAAAGATGTCTTGGCTATACGACTGCTGAAGGTAGGGAGGGTGGCCAGGACAGCTTAGAATGTCCCTCAAATCAATCACAGCTTAGCAAAACTTACCCCAGAAGTGATGGGCTTGCTGAAAATTTATGCTTGCCAAAAGTCCAGAACAAGTTCTGTAAAGAGGATTTGGTCCAAAAAAAAAAAAAAGGTCTATAGTAACCAATGTACAAAGTATTGCCGTAGCAATGGACAAATTCATTTTATAGAATTGAATAATAGTAATAATATCTAACACATAGTGCTTACCATGTGCTAAACAATGGTTTAATTGCTTCATGCATATTCAGTCAATTTTCCAACAACCTATAAGGTAGGTACTATTATCACAGAGAGGTTAACTAGCTTGCTCAAGGTCACAGAGGTATTAAGGCACAGAACTGGAGTAAGAGTAGGAAACAATACCAAATATGTGTGGGAACTTAGTTTCTAAGAAAGGTAAAACTTGGGAACCAGCAGTTAGCGTAATGGCTATGTCGCTGGACTCCCATGTAGTCGACCGCGGTTCGCGTCCCGGACCCGGTGGCTTAAAACTCACACTGGGTGTGTGTGCGTGCGTGCCCAAGATCCTGAGAAGAGAATGGAGGAGAAGGGATTGCGGCGTGACCATCCCCCCTGGGGGGTGATTTCTCGCTTTCTGTCTCTCTCTGTCTGGTGAGCGCACGCGCCCTATAGTGAAAACCTCTCAAAAAAAAAAAAAAAAAAAGAAAAAGAAAAAAGAAAAAAGAAAGGTAAAACTTAAAATCAGGGAGATAATTATGATTTAGTGAATAAGTGGTTTGGGGGTAAATGACTATCCACACAGAAAAAAAATAAAATTAGATTCTTAGTGCCCACAATTCACAAAACTTAAATCCAGAAAAAGAGCTAACATTTTATCTTCTTTACAAATTTTAGGTGAAATACAAGGCCTTCTTAAATAAAACATGAAATACAACTATTAAAATTTGGTAAAGAAAGGGGCCAGCAGATGACATAGCAGGTATGTCAATGGACTCCCACATGGTTGACTGCAGTTCAAGCCTCAGACCCACAGCTTGAAACTCACATGAGACATGTGTACATGTGTGCCCATGATCCCTTGGAGGAGAATGCAGAAGGGATTGTGGCATGGATATCCCCCTTGGAGGAGGTTTATTTCTCACTTCTCTCTCTCTCTCTCTCTCTCTCTCTCTCTCTCCCTCCCTCCCTCCCTCCCTCCAGTGAGTGCATCCACCCTAAGACAAAAACTTCTTAAAAAAACTGGTAAAGGTGACTACATAAAAATTGAAATCTTCTATAGGCTAAAAGACATTATAAATTTTAGGGACCAGCAGTTAGCGTAATGGCTATGTCGCTGGACTCCCATGTAGTTGACCGCAGTTCGTGTCCCAGACCCAGTGGCTTAAAACTCACACCAGGCGCATGTGTGTGCATGCCCAAGATCCCTAGAGGAGAATGGAGGAGAAGGTATTGCGGCATGGCCATCCCCCCTGGGGGGTGATTTCTCGCTTTCCGTCTCTCTGTCTCTTTCTGTCTGTCTGGCGAGCGCATGTGCCCTATAGCAAAAACCTCTCCAAAAAAAAAGACATTATAAATTTTTAAAATTCTCATTTTAAAGATAGATGAAAGGCAGAATAGATAATTCACAGAAAAGGAATAAAGAAGAGCCAATAAACAAAGAAAAGAAAGAAATGGAAATACCGTCTTTTGAATGGGATTGACAAAACTTAAAAAGACTAATAATATCCACCTGTGGTAAGGTTGTGGGTAAGCAGATATGTCTCATACACTACTGGCCCTTCTAGAAGGGATTTTGGCACCATCTATTAACACTTATCTTGTACCATTCGATTCAGCAAGTCTACCTAACTTTAGAGAAATATTAACTTGTACACAAACACAAAGAGTTATTATAAGAAATTTCACTGCATCATTGTCAGTAACAGCAAAACTTAGAAACAACCTAAATGTCAATCGGTAGGGAATGATTAAATATAAGATGTACCTCTACACTACTAAAATACTAGGCAGAGGGTCCCAGCTTTGTGGTGTAGCAGTAATGCAATGTTCAAGAAAAGCCAGATCTCACATGGCCATAAAGGTTCAAATACCTGGCCTAGTCAGCCTCAAACATACTGGGCATGTGCCTGAGTGTCCAAGATCCAACTGCCCTATGAGTGGAAAGGTAATCACAGTGTGACCATACCCTGTAGAGGGTACTTCCTCTCCTTCTCTCTTGTTTCTGCAAACACACTCTAACATAAATAAGAAAAAAATGTTATAAAATACTATGCAGTGGGTAGATATCTACGTACTTAGGTGTATCTCTTTATCCTGATATAGCAATAGAAAGATACCCAAGCAGGTTGTAGAAACACACACACTAAACTATATCCCTGTCAACATATGTCTATATATGGACATAAACACAACAAAATGAAAGGTATATGTCGAGCTGAAAATAAAGGTTACTGGGGGACTAGCAGTTAGCGTAATGGCTATGTCGCTGGACTCCCATGTAGCCGACCGTGGTTTGAGTCCCGGACCTGGTGGCTTAAACTCACGCTGGGCGTGTGTGCGTGCGTGCCCAAGATCCCGAGAGGAGAATGGAGGAGAAGGGATTGCGGTGTGGCCATCTCCCCAGGGGGTGATTTCTCGCTTTCTGTCTCTCTCTGTCTTTCTAGCGAGCACATGTGCCCTATAGCAAAAACCTCTCTAAAAAAAAAAAAAAAGAAAAAAAAAAGAAAATAAATAAATAAAGGTTACTTTTGGGCTCAGAGGGGTAAGAGTGTTAGTCAAAAGAAATTCTGCATTTTCTGCCAGGTTCTAATGTTCAATCCATTTGTATAACTTTTTAAAATAATATTAAAAGAAAAACCCACATTATAGCCACCTGCACTATACAAAAAAGCACTTTATACAGTAAGTATAGTACTCAGTAAATCTTAGCGTTTAAAAGGGAATCATCTCTTAAATGCAAAGAGCCCACTAAAAGGTCATTAAATACCTTTGCAAGAAATGAACTAGCTGACACAGAACAAGTCAATCAGGTAAGAGGGCAAAAGTCACTGGCAGTAAGTTTGGACAGTACTAAAATTAAATGACAGATGATTATAATGGTTATTATTTTTTGAGAAAGACACTATGCCAGGTACTCTGTGAAAGAATAATCTCTAATTCTTACATAAAGCCATGAGACAGCCCCCATTTTACACATTAAAAACACATGGTGGGACCAGTAGATAGCATAATGGTTACATTACTGGACTTCCACAGTCGACCATGGTTCAAGTCCCAGACCCAGAGTCTCAAAATTCACACAAGGTGCATGTGAGTGAGTGCCCAAGATCCCAGGAGGAGAGTAGAGAACAGACTGTGGTGTGGCCATCCCCCCAGGGGGTGATTTCTTGCTTTCTGTCTCTCAGGCAAGCGCACACGCCCTATAGCAAAATACCCCCACCCCACCCCCCAAAAAAAAGAACACATGGCTTGGAGAAATTAAGCATCATCAGATTTAAGACTAGGCCTATTGTTCACTATGACTATCCTTGATTGATTGTGATTGAGATGGGAGTCCCTTCTGGCCTGGACCCACATGCTTATTAGCACTCCTTACTATACTCTGCATCCTTGAAGCATGTTCCCAAGCTGTCCTGTTCATCCAGACTAGCATTCTCCTCTTCTTCCTCACTCTCGGTTCTCCAGTATGCTGGCCGCTTGATAGGTCGCTTTCCTGGGGTGCGCTGGGAAGCAGGACTGTTAGAAACTGTGCCCAACCCACTGCTGGAGCTCCCACTGCTTCGTTCCTGTGCCCCGGTCCACCAGGCCTGCAGGCTGGATGTAGCTGGTGAGGACGATGAGGACTGCAGGTTGGCCATGCACAACATGCCTTGGATGGCCTCCTGAGTACTGGGAGAGGCTGGGGCCTCACTGCAACAGACAGAGAATAAATGCTGAGGGAATTTTTCTAGTTGTCAGAGGAAACCAGTCATCAGAATACTCAGGGAAGAAGTACTATGGCTGTAATGATCAGGGGAAAGCAGAAAGGAAGAGCCATACAAGGTGAAAAATTAAAAATCAAGCTAAAGCATCAAGATAGTAGCAAAGATTGTTTTCCTGAAAAGCCAGTCCTTCTTGCCTTGTCTCTCCATAGACAGCAGCCAAGATGTCAAAAAAGGGGGCACATCCCTCTTCCTGTTCACCCATGCTGGATTCTTTCCTTTTATTTATTTTTTAACAGTTATCCTTCCTTGATTCTTCCAGTCCCTCTTCGAACTTCCCAAGCACTCAAAATTGATTCCTCTTGAAGTCTATACACTCTTTTCCTGTGAGACTGTTCCTTAGGACAGGTTTCATGTCTATTTATGCTTTTAGTCCAAATGGACTGGATAATTCTTTGTCCCTTTAAGTACTTAATCAGCATCTGCTGATTAAGTATCAGCAGAACTAGCCTCATAGGCAAGAGGGGGTGTGCTGTCTGACAGCCTGGAAAGGGAAGATCAAAGCCAGTACTCACGTGAGAGCAGCATAGTCAGGTCCCCCCACCTGCCTGCTGGCCTTGAGCAGATCAAGAATTCCACCAGCTCCACTCCCATTCCCAAGCTTGCCTTCTACCCCTTCAACCATGTCCTCATCTGTTGTATAGTCCTCCTGTTGGAGAGAGAGCATATGACCTCAGCTGCCCAGAGCTTGTCTGGTAAGGCTTCAATACGAGGTTGATAGCCTTACTCCTAATACTAATTAATATCTACCTACCACCAAGTATAGACCAAGTGCTAATCAGACTTATTCATTCTTTCTTCTTAATCTCCACACATCTTTGAGGTATATATTATAATCACATTTTACAAATAAAAAACTAAGGCTCTGGGGCCAGCTGGTGGCCTGGTGGTTAAGGGCACTGGATTCACATATGGCCCACTGTGGTTCAAGTCCTGGACCTGGTGGCTTGCTTTCTTGCTTTCCTTTTCTCTCTCTTTCTCTGTCTCTGTCTGGTCAAATTAAAACACAGTAATAACAAATAGAATTAAATAAATAAATAATTGTCAAAACAAAAAAAACTAAGGCTCAGTAGAATAAAATAATTTGTGAAGGTCTTATCAGATACTCCAAATCAGATACTCCTTATGCTATTTAATGTTAACTTTTATTCTAAAATTTATTAAAGGATTTTACAAATATTTCAACTAAATTGCAATCTTTCATTTATATGATCTGCAGCACTTACTGCACAATCTTTCATTTAAAACATATTTTGGAAATTGAATATATAGGATGTTTTCTTGCCATCCTCAACTAGAATGACTGTCTTCTATCTCTGTGACTAGAATGAGCAGACTACACAAAGGGCAGGATCCTACCTCAATGTCAAACTCAACTTCTCCTGGTTCACGAACTCGGTTTGGGTCAGAGCAAGGCTTGGCACGGGGTAACTTCCGGGGAAATTCTACAAAACAGGGAAATGCACACATTATGAAGCTAAGATTAACAACTGACCCAAACACCTAGAGGAAATGAAATAAGACTATAGTTTTCCTAGAAGTAATAACCACAGATGACTATTTAGAGAGGTTAGGATTTAGTTGATAAATGAATGTCTAGAGCAAAGGAAAGAATGGAGACTTAGAGAGCCTGGTAAATCACAATGTCAACAATCTCAGGCCCAAGGTCTTAAGTTTATCAAGGGGGCTACAAACAAACATGAAATGAGTAGGACAGCAAAGGAAAAGAACAGAGACACACTTGGTCTTATTATGAGGGTTGCCTTCTCCCTTCCCAATCTCTCATCAATCTGCAGCTCATCATCTGAATCCAAGTCAAACTCATCCTCCATCATCTGTTCTGCCACCAGCCTAGTTTTGTCTGCCTTCTTTGCAATCTTAGCTCGCCGAGACTTGGATAAGCTCTTTATCCTCTTGGTACTGGAGAGAAGGGGAAGGAGAACATAAAAAAACAAACAGTCATGCATAATATGAAGAAAGCAATTCTCCCCAAATTGATCTATAGATTCAATGCAATCTCTATCAAAATTTAGGTAGCCTTTTCTATAAAAGTTGACAAGCTGATAGTAAAATGTATAGGAACATGCAACGGTTCTAAAATCAAAACAATGAAAAAGAAAAAAAGAACAAAGTTGGAGGACTTATACTACTCAATTTCTAAACTTATATAAAGCTACAGTAATCAAGGCAGTGTGATACTGGCATAAGGATAGACATACAGCACAGTGGAACCAAATTGTAAGTATAAAATAAACCCTTAAATTTATGAACAAATTATTTAAGAATTATTTTATTTAACTCTATTTAATATTATTACTTTAATATTTATTTCCAGAGAGAGAGAGAGGGAAAGGGAGAGGGAGAAGGAGAGGGGGAGGGGGAGAGGGGGAGAGAGAGAGAGAGAGAAAGTGAGAAAGCAAGTTTCCAGGTCTGAGACTTCAACCACAGTCAGCCATGTGGGAGCCCAGTGCCTTTAACGACCATGCCACCTGCCAGCCCCCTAAAAATGATTTTTGAGAAAGGTGCCAAGGCAACATAGTGAGGGAAATAATGGTCCTTTCAACAAACAGTGTCAAGACTACTGGATATCACATGCAAAGAAAGAATTTGATGTAGGTCTTTATCTTACATCATGCATAAAAATTAAGTAAAAATACACTATAGATTTATATGTAAAAGCTTAAATTATAAAATTTCTAGAAGACAGAAAAATATCTTTGTGACCTCAGATTTGGTAAAATTAAAAACTGCTTCAAAAAAAGCCATTCAGCATATAAAAAAGGCAAGCCACAGATTGGAGGTAAATATTTGTACATCATTTATCTGGTAAAGGATTTGTATCCAGAATATTTAAAAAACTCTAATAATTCAATAAGATAAACAAGCCAACTTAAAAACAAGCAAATTATTTAAATAGATATTTCTCCAAAGATGATATATAAAAAGCCAGTAATTCCTGAAAAGTCCATTCCACTCTGCCATAGTGACAACACAGATGAACCTAGAGAACATTTTGCTAACTGAAACAAGTCACACAGAAAGAAAAATACTGCATGATCTCTTTTAAATATAAAATTTTTAAGAAGCTAAATTCATAGTGCAAAAGGGTATAATGGTGGTATCTAGGGACTAGAGTTTAGGGGAGACATTAGTCAAAGGACATAAAGTTTTGGTTAAGTAAGATGAATAAGAGATCTAAACTACAGCAAGGTGACTATATATAATAATACTGTTTTGTACACTTGAAATTTCCTAAGAGAGTGGATTAAGTTTTTAACCATACATATACAGAAGAATGGTAACTATGTGACGTACTGGGTATTAATTAGCTTGACTATAGCAAGCATTATCGAAACATCACATCATATATTTTAAATATATACCATTTTTTTAACAGAAAACACAATGAGTTATTGCTTTACATACACCAGAATGGTTATGTCAAAAAGAGAAAACAATGATGAGTGCTGACCAGTTTATGCAGAAATTCATGACTGCTGGCAGGAATGTAAAATGGTACAAACACTTCAGAATGTTTGGCAAAAAGCTAAACACAGAGTTATCACATAAACCAACAATTTTACTTCTAGGTGAGAAATGAAATAGACATGCAAACAAAAACTAGTACATGAATGCTCAGAGCAGCATTATTCATAACAGCCAAAAAAGTAGAAACAATCGAAATGATCAGCAACTAGTGAACGAATAAACAAAATGTAGTGTATCCATACAATGGAATACTACTCAACAATAAAAAAGAACTAACTAATGATCATGCTACAACGTGGATGAACCTTTAAAACATTACGTGTTGAGTGAAAGAAACCAGACACAGGGGTCAGCAAGTGGCATAATGATTAAGGCACTGGACTCCCATATGGCTGATCAGATTGAGTCTCAGACCTGATGGCTTGAAAGTCATACCAGGTACATGTGTGCATGTCCAAAATCCCAGGAGAATAGAGGGGAAGGGACTGTGGCAAAGCCATAC